TCCTATTACTTTTGAAAAACAATATGCATTATGTATGAGCCCCCACTTATTCCTCACAACAGAAACCAGGCTCACATTTGTCTTCATTTACAAGATGTTTCCATACGACTTCAATAACAGATATTTATCATCGCCTACTGTATGACAATAGATCAAAACCTTTGTGATTGTGACTTACTTTTTTCTCTAGTATCAAAATGTGTTGCATTTAACTAAAATGTTGTTGACAATTAAGAAAATACCCTAATTTCATAGAGACATGCTTTGCACCAGAGGAATGATCTCTTTATCCAAAACAAAGAGTACTACTTTGTTTGAGCTGTAAGATCACACTCAAAAAATCAATTAAACAAACATGTAAATAAATAAAAACAGGAACTGTGCGACCTAAGAGCCCACTATCACAAATCATTAATATTCACCTTTGCTCAGTACATGCAATCTACATGTATAGGGGCTAGGGTCAGAGTGTGGACATGTATGTAGTATTTACCTGTACTATGTACTCAATTGTAGAAAACTGTGGCATGAGTTCAGCTGGCTGGTTCACTTCCGAAATGCCTGCATAAGAGGGAGGAAACTGCAGAGACACAAAAGAGAACCAGATCAACCAGACTGATACAGGAATGTAGCTGGACAACAATAAGATATGCAGGATTACTACTAGCAACTATTAATATCCTATTATTTAATGCTGTTGATGTCTGTACTTACTGGGTTTCTCTGGAAGCAGAAGTTGCACGCCCATATTTTTGCTCTGAAGTCCACTTGACTGTAAAGAGGGATCAAAACAATCAAAGGTTTACATCAAATTGGTGGGGGTGAAGCTGTGACTGGTAGTTGTTAATGCAAGGTGTGTTTGCAGCTATTTATGTAATATGAACCACACCTAGTGCTTATGACACCTCAGCACTTAGAAATAATTATGTGTCCAAAAATATTCAACATAGCAATAAATTGAAATCCCTGCAAACCCTTGATCATAATTCCCATGTAACAGAGAAGGCTATAGTAAATATTCTAAAAAAAAATAAAAAAAATGGTATATTATAAAAGTTAGTTTTTACATTGTAACATGTTTTTCAAGTGCTATACGGTTATTGGCATTCTATTGTCATTATGTAAGAGAACAGAACACAACTCTGTTTGCAGCAGTCCCGTACAGCAGCGTTAGAAAATGTGGTCAAATATTAAAATATATCTATAGATATGTACATATAGAAGATACTTGTACTACATTGAATGAGTTGAGAAATAGCTTATTAAAAAACAAAGAAAGAAAGATACACATTTATAAACCAGGGCTCACCATAGTGGATTGAGCACTGCCTTGCAGTTGGCCCGGCTGCAAAGGACTGGTTCATACTGGACCGGAGGTAGATCAGGTCTCTCCTTGAGAGGTGTGAAGAGGCATGAGACAGGGACCACGAGCCTGGTAGCTTCGAGGCGGCTGGAGGGCCAGAGGTTCCAGCTGAATCTAACTCCATCCCTGTCCTCATTCTGTTGGATGAACTCCTGGTAGGTCGACATCACCGTGCTTCAGTCGTAAAAAAAAGAAAAAGAGAAAACGAGTCCAATAGACGACAGTGAGGTTGTTTATCCAGTAGAAGAACTCAATCAACTCTGTGAACACTATTTGTTTAAACTGCTTACACCAGCTATAGTGAACTGCTCTTTATACAGGTAGTCCTTTCCCTCCCATGCTAAAATAAGACGCAGGTACTCATAAGTATGACGCGCATATGTGACATCAAAAACCAGACTAGCTTGTTTCACTGAGGACAAAAAGTGTGTAAAGGAATCCCGAAGGCATTTTTAAATAGGCTCGACTTTTCTTGGTATGTCAGTGAACTATCAATGACGTCATTATAAAGGCACAACCAAGGATCCTGTTGTGGTAAAAGCTTACAATCCTACTGTCTTACAGCTATCAGAGGAATTCAATATTCCCTGAGCAGGACACTTAATCACAGAAAGTTACACGGTGGACTTGAACTGTAACATACAAAAGATAAAACCACTGTTGTCAGCATTTTGTTTTAAGAGGGTACAACACGATCTATACTTCAGACAAGTTTGTGCTATGTTTAACTATTAATGAGAATTTCTCTGGGACCAATATGACATCTTAAACTACCTCTTAGTGCTTGGGACTGTAGATCAAAAGGAAGAATAAGACGTGTTAAATTGACAAAACAAAGAAAATCCGTTAAGCTGAAAATATTCTTCAATAATGACCTAAATGATCAATTCATGGTAAACTATGCCAAAGTGTTCCATATTGTGTGTTTTTTTTTTTTAAAGAAATAGATGTTTTTGTTTGAGTTGAAATTATTTTGAATTGTTTTAGATGACATTTTCAATCAGCCCAGGTCTGAGATATAAAAAAAAATTATGTTTCAGTTGCAAAAAACACCTTAAGCAAACAATGCATCAACACTGTTACCTACAGAACAATTAGTATAGCTCTGTATTTGATTAATTAAACTTCATAAATATACTTATATATATATATTATTAATTTATACTAATGTGTGTTTCCTTTTTGTGTGCATATCTAATAATCAGGTTTAATGGAACATTGTTTTAGTTTGTTTACCTGTTTGATGGATTGTTTTTGTTCTTGGACACACTAATCAATAATCAGAATTGTTGTCCCTTTTTACTTCTGGGTGCACAAGAGGACACTTCTCCCTTTCATATTATCCTACGGCTATTGTTTGTTGTATTTTAGTTTTATGTCATCAGATTTCGTAACCAAATCACCTCAAGCAAATGAATCGATATTAAAAAAAGAAAAGTGGAGTTGTTCCAATGTGGTGTAGGCCTACTTACTATGTGAGTGAACGATGAAATGTGCTTTAAATGATTATAGGGATTAACCTTTAGTTAGCAAACAGGCTACAGGACACTTACCATAGTATGTAAATATTAAGACCATCACTGATAAAACTCTAGTAAAGGTTAGGATCGTCTTTTCTACTCACAAATCGATCAAGTAAGGTCGGTTTGCATATCTAAGGTTTCCCTCGCAACCTCATACCTCGCAAATCATTGTGACTAACGATGGAGGGAACAAAACATTCACACATTTCACAAGAGAGGATATGTTAGTCGAGCTTCACAAAATGTTTCTACGTTGCTTTGACACTAAATCTCCTCAAGCTAACGCTAGCTGACGGAATGTAGCGTAAGCGTTGACCCACTTCCGGTCCCTTCATGAATGAAAGCAGTCACAGGCGTTTCACTGTCAAGCGAATAAGATAGAGTGCTTACCTTTATATCAGTTTCTCCTCCGGTCTAAAGAAAAGCTAAAGAGTCTGTTGTGTTTAAAGCGAATTACAGCATTTGGAGATACAAGCACAAGGGTATATCTTACAAGAGAGAAAGGCGACCGTGAGGGGAGCACTCCCTTCCAGCCGGCTTCTGCTCTTCACTAGAATGACGTGTTACTCGAAGTTCAGGCTCCTCCTATTGGCTCGTTTTACGTGACGTCGCCAGGACGTGCTCAGCTTACGCATAGACGTGAAGTGCTGTGGGAAACGGAGTTTAGAGAAACTGTCAGACAGGAAAGACGGTATGCCTCTAGTGGTTATAGTCACGGAGCTGCAGTAGGCTTAATTGGAGAGAATAGTACTATTGTTTACTGTACTGTTTACAGTGCCTTTCATTAAACAATTTTAATAAGATTTTAAATTTTAACTTTTAACTCTTTTTATAGTTTTACTTTATTTATTTCAATTAATTTCTTTTGAATTATTTTTATTTGAACATATGTTCAGATTTAATAATTCCAGTGATTTTTTTTTTTTAATGCTCTATTTTAATGTTTCTTTTCTTTCCTATGTCATGATGCTTTTGATGTCTTGTGTGAAGCACTCTGAATTGCCTTGTTGTTGAAATGTGCTATATAAATAAACTTGCCTTGCCTTGCCTATTGCAATGTGCTATCGTGTTTTCCCCCGTTACTTAGGCCTGTAACTCCAGTCTATTCACCTTGTAGGCCAAATCGGCTGCTATAGCCTAGAGACTGACCTTTGACTAGGCTGTGCTTTTTACCAATTGCAAGTAACCTAATTTAAATTCAGACCTGCAAGATTGATGTAGGCCTAGCATACTTCAATTAGCCTTAAGACTTCCATTGTATGCTAGTATACATTGTACTTCTACTCTGTAGGCCTATTTTAGATTTAAAACATGTTAGCCTAAACCTACTGTATTACTTTTTTGAAAACATTGAGGATATTTGTCAGTGTTTATTAGTATAAAATATATGAGAACATAATCGCAAATCTCTTTTAAATATAAACGTAGTGTCCATCTGGTCACAAAAGCTCTGGTACGATCCTTCTTGCAGCTGTCCATGGTGCTGGAATGAAACATGCCGCTCTCTCAGGCTGCATTCAAGACGCCCGGCGGAATGGGAATTATTGTGTGTTTGACAAAAACGTTCACATCTTTCGAAATATGCATTATGGCTGAAATTTCCAGAAATTTAATGAACTGCAATTGATTTAGCTATTAAGGCTACTTTTAAATACACACTAGGTAATTGTGAGAGTAGGCTTAAATAGCATATGCCTAAATAAAGTGACATGAAGGATCAATTGCCTCCTAGTCTTATTGATTTTAATTTTTTCCAAAACAGCATTTCATAGCCTGTTGCTCGATGTTTAATCCTATAGCACAACGTTTGTGCTGATTAGCCTAGGCCAATCTTTGTGCCTATTTTTTTCTTTATTTAGTGTTCCGTTGGTTTAAACACATGTTTGAACGATGCATCAGGTTCGGAGTAGCCTGGCTCTAGGGGTAAGAACCAATAGGAAACCTTAATTTTGAACTTACAGTAGCACTTTACACAATGTTTGGACTCCATCTGAACGTTAAGTGGCGCTGTAACCAAGCTGTATTTCCTATCTGAATCATAACCCCCAGGAGAGAGAGGAGGGAGAGAGAGGAGAGAGAGAGAGAGAGAGAGAGAGGAGGGCTGGCTGCTCCCTCTCTCGTCGTCTCTCGGTTTCCTCCGTTTCCAGCGGACGCTCTCTTCAGTGTTAACTTACAGGCGGCAGGTGTGTTCTCCGACAGTCAGCCGAAGCTTTTCTACACTTTGACAACGTTTTGGACCGATTTTGGATACTAAACGGAGCCGATAAGTCCCACTGCAAGTCGACTGACTACACTATAGGCTACACCCTGACTGTGAGGATGTTGCAGTGGTAGACAGTGGAGCATCTTCCTCACTCAGCCGGCACCGTCAGCTGTTGCTCTAGCAGAGAGTGGGAGAGTCTGGAGCAACAAAAAAAAGGCCAAACTATGCGACTGACTTTCTACCGGTAACCGTTTTCCTGCTTCTGTCGACTCTTGAGCGGATGCGAGCAGAGGTTGTCAACGAGCCTCTGGTTATTTTCTGCCGTTTTTCGGTGCCGGAGGAGCTGTGCCAATGGAGAAAGCGACTCCGCCGCCCCAGCCCCAGCTCCAGCTGTCGATAGCGAAGACAGAAAGTCCTGCGGAGGACATCTCCGCTCTTACGGACGAGGAACTGCTCAAGTGGACCAAAGATGATCTGGTGCGACGGCTGAGGCGGTCTGAGGCCGACAAGATGAGCGTGATTCTGGACCACGGGAATCTTATCCGGGAGGTCAATCGCAGCCTCCAGCTGCACTTGAACGAGATCAGGGGGCTGAAGGTGAGGGGGCGCGCATCGGTGAAGGATGAGATCATAGGTTTGGAGCGCACCTGAGAACGCGCATATCAGGAAGGATGTTCTGCTGTTTGAAATAATCTAGACACATGTTATAGAAAGGATGGTTACGTTGAAGTTCCTTGGGCCTGTATCAGAATCGCAAATTGACCCTGTGTACACAGTTTTTCTGGGCATGCTTAACCTCAACAGGCTCCTTTTTTATCTAACTTTTTGATAATTTACTTTTATTTATGTGCTAAAAATCAAAGAAAGTTGAATTAAGGGGAATGGACACCTTTGACCAACATTAGGGGATATATATCCTTGCAACTTAGATTATTAAACCAATAACAAGACGCACTGTACTGAAAAAAATAAAATCCTCATGAAGTGGCTATGCATGGTCCTCTGAAAATCTACTGTTCTGCCACACACAAAATCAGGCGACCAGATCTCGCCCTGTTTTAGCAACACAAACTTCACATTGCTTGAACATTCCTGCACATAAACCCACAGCGTGGGCAATACAATTAGATGTTGTTCAACATTGCATTTGCATAAGAAGTATATGAAAGCTTTTTTTGTTTCAGTAAATGCCTTTGTTTCCGCACTCTCACATCAAGAGCAATTGGCACGGTGTCCAAAATGTTTACAATTAAAGTAGAGACCCAGCCTGGGGTAGCCCCAGATGGAGCACAGGGGGATTATTTGCCTTTCTTGGTCACCTCTCCACCCATCCGAGGTGCCTAATTACACAGGAAAGAGCTGGGGGGTAAAAGAGGGAGAGAAAGGACAGGGGAGAAATTAAGGAGCTTGTAGGGAGGTGAAGAAGGGATGTTTAAGTACACTTCGCTGGTGTGTAAAATGTTCAGGGCGTGTAATTTCATTTCCCTAACCCATTCTTATTGCTGTGTGTGGCCTCTCCATCTCCTACATAGGATTCTGCTCTGTGCACTTCACATTGAATAACGAGTCAACGCTTTCCTGGGAAAGACAGAGAGGATTAGGATTTCATTTCATTATGATTGCATACAGCGTCTGACTGAGCAGCATTGAAATGGATTGAAATTGTTAAATACATGCTGATATACCTGTATCTGTATATTTGTACCAAATCAAAATCACATTTGGATCTTCCTGGAATGATCAGCAATGTCTAAATGATGATGCTCCCTAATTGTCAGTTGAACTCATCTCTCGTTTTCTCTTGTTTCCCCCCCTCCCTCTTCCTCTCAGGACATCAATCAGAAGCTGCAGGAGGACAACCGTGAGCTGCGGGACTTGTGCTGTTTCCTGGATGACGACCGCCAGAAAGGAAAGCGTGTTTCAAGGGAGTGGCAGCGTTTGGGACGTTACAGTGCCAGCATCATGCGCAAAGAGGTGACCCTCTACCTCCAGAAACTCAAGGAGCTGGAGCTTCGACAGGAGGAGGTAATCAAGGAAAACACAGAACTGAAGGAGCTCTGCCTGCTGCTGGACGAGGAGAAGGGAGTGGTAGGTGGAGGTGTTGGAGGGGGAGGGGTAGGGAGTGTAGGAGGTGTAGGGATGGGAGGGTGCCGCAACTCCATAGATAGCCAGAATAGTTTGCTACTGGTGCCTGGGCATGGGCTCCTGATGAGAGACGTAGGAGATGGGAGCAGCACCTCCAGCGCAGGGAGTGCTGACAGCTCCGATCACCCTCACCACAAGCAGCCTCACCTTGCTCCAGGGGTGGGCGGAGTTGGGAGCAGTGGTGGTGGAAAAGGGAGCCCAGAGCTTGTGCACAAACCAAGGTGTAGCAGTATCAGTGGATTAGCAGGCGGAGGTGGAGGAGACAGGGAGGTGTCCAGTCCTGTGCTCCCTACTGGGCGTCATCGGAGTACAAGCCTGGAGTACCCATACACTCTGCCACAGATCTGCCGGCCCCGCTGTGGCTCCATATCCGTGCCTGATCACAGTAGAGTCATGCGGGGTCTCAGCCCAGAGAAATATGGGAGGAACATGGGCGGGCGGAGTCCAGAGCAGCACCCCAAGCACCACAGCTCTGATCTCCTCCTGGGCCAGAGGCAGCACTTCCTGGGTCAGGGAGGCAGCGGGGAGCTCTATCAGAGGCATAACAGAAGCAGCATTAGCAGTACTGGCTGTGGGAGCCCTGAACCCAGGCTGGCACATTTAGGGACCACTGAGCACCATGAAAAGGTCCATGGGGGCAGCCCTGAAACTCACAGGCACCATTACAGTATGAGCCCTGACCATGTGAAGTTTGGCAGCCCTGTGAGGGAGGGGCAGAGGAGAGCGGCTGGAGACGAGCTGTCACCACACCATCGGAGCATTTACAATGGCATGAATGGTAGGTGGGTGTGCATTCATGGAAATGTTTCATGTAGTAAGTGCATGTAATGGGATCACCCTTTTTTCCCCAAGAAACCAAAACATTCTCATACAGCCCCATAAATACAGAGGATGACAGCATGCAACTTATTTTTCACTTTAGCAACAAAATCCTTTCCAAGTTTTTCAGTTCTGTTATTTTCTTGTTTTCTCCATGTGTGATTAAACACAAGTTTAGACCAAGTGGCAGTCTCTGGAGTTTAAACATCAAGCTAATGATTAAGTACAAAAAAAACTACAGTTCCTCAAGTGTCCACTTGAGGCTGGCTGCAAAAGCCAAGGAAGTTCCTTTAACACCCATGTTAAAATACCAATTTTGACAGCAGAAATAAATGTTTACAGCCTCAAAATACACATTTGGTATCAATAACTCATACCTTTCATGTATTAAATTGTACAGGGGTTGATTTATGTCATCCGTTTTGATTATTTTATGGCTAAGAGAGTTTTGTATAATTAGGGAGTGTGGCTGATCTGACTGATCGGCGAGGGCGTTGTAGCTGTTTGCCAGGAGGCTAAGGCTCGTCCCAGCTCTAGGGCTTTGCCAGTTGCTACTAGGATGACCGAAAGTTTGTTTGAAACAGCATTTCCAATATGGTGATCGTCATTATTGGGCTTCAGAAGTTTGCTTCAAGAAATCAATGTGAAGCATCACAGAGACTAAGTCCATCTATTATACATTCTATGGGTTAGACTCTTTTTTTCTGAGGTGGGTTTCGGGGGTGGTTGGTGGTATTTCTCTGGAGGAGAGCGGAGGCTTCAGTATGGTGGAGGTGTGGCCAAACAGCAGTTTGTTTTGGTTTCATGAAGGTGCTCAGGGGCGACATCTACTGGATCAAAAAGTCGCACATTCTTCCTTTCTAAAAGAAGAACTGCTTAATGTGTTCATTTGGAGGCACTTATTTGATTGAGAAAATGGAGACGCTCTTCCTCTTTCTGACTGTTGCAAAATGTATATCATTATTGATTTTTTTGGTGGTCTCTTGAGGAATGTGGGTTGGCTCAGTGCATGAGAGAGAAAATCAAGGGTTTAGAAATATTTATTTTACATGTCCTGTTTCTAAGTCGAACAGATTCTTCTCAAATGATCTGTGATCTGATTTCAGAGGAGTGTTTCGACTCTTGGCACCCAAAAAGGGTCCCACATGCTTCTCTTGGATGATAGATAACCCCCAAATCTTTGCGGAAGTTATGCCTATCACTGCAAGATCAGCGTGTGTTGAGGGTGTCAGAGAGAAGGAGGGATATCAAAGTGTAGCAACTTGGCTGCTGTTTAAATATCCCACAGTGGTTGATAATGATTTCAACAGTCCCGGGAAAAAAAAGTGCTGAGTGGCACAGAGCTGGCAGAAGCTAAAGGACAAATTCCTCAAGGTGAAATATCTGCCATACATATAACAATCCAAACAAAGTGAGGGAAACACACACCAAGGAAGGATTTCAGTTTCCTCTCATGAAGTGATGTCAACAGTTATGTGATACATGCTGCAGTCTCTGAATGATAACATATTCTTATTGATTACTTGAGCTGACATGCTACAACTAATAACAAAGCTAGGACACAAATGACTGTTTACATAGTGTGCTATCTTTGCTAGCATTAGCATTTTTCACATGATGATGAGGTTACTCAACAAGAGGAGTACTCAGTCGGTGAGACAGTTGTATAATGTCATCTGTGACAGTGATGATGTAATGTTGATGTCATCATCGGGGTAATCTCACTTGGTTTTGAAACAGAACAATTTGGATAGAAAGTCTCTTTTAAAAAAATGATATCATCATGTAAATCATTTGAGAAGTCTAATCTCTCACCTGCGCTGCTATAATCGTTGTGGGCATTCTTTCTCTATGTCCTCTGTGTGTGTACAATATAAAATGAAATTGATGAAATGCCCCTTTAAGACTTACAAAGCAGCCACTGTATGTTAAGAAATGACAGGAGTGTAGTAAACATGCTCTCTATTGCCATTTCTCAATCTCCCCGGATTGCAGCAGATTATTACAGAGACACAAACAACTTTGATTTGGACCATAGTAGTGTTTCTATTTTTGCTCTCTTTGCTCTCTGAAGCTCAATGAGATTTCAATCTTGATGTAACCTGAGACCCGTATGATGTCTGCAAAAGGCCACGTTGCATTAATGCCTTACAAATCCTTAATTGGAAAATGTTGTGAGTGCACCGGGCACTCACTGGCCCCGAAGCCTGGTGCTTTGCCAACTGTGGCATAACTGTTTGTGAACTTAACACAGAGAGAAATGCTTCAGCAAACAACCATTAACCAGATACATAGATTATTTTATCACGCCTTTGGGTGAGGGAAATTCGAGTGTGTGCCTGTTGCTTTAGAGTCATATTTGTATATCATGACTAGTTGTCAGAAATGCTCTCCATCTAGAACTCAGAAAAATGTCCCCTTAGGCTCTGACGTGGCTCTACTGACCTGACAAGGACACTTACGTCAATTGTCACAACACAATATTTACAGTGAGATGAAGACATGCAATCAACACTAAGCCAGAGGTTGAATCTTTTTTAGTTACTGAGTAATAGAGTAAGACTTTTGCTGACAAATTACAATCCACAAACAGGCCTCTATAAGATACAAATAACAGGAAGGGGAATTATTATAGAACCGTGAGGTTAGAGAAGTAAAGAGGTCAGCTTTTTTAGTCATGTCCCTGTCTGTCATCCACTGACCCATCCTTACAGCCATGTCCTTTTTTTGGACAGCGAGGGAATTTAATTCCTGTGACGATGTAGTACACTCTACTCGCTTGGATTATTCTCTAAGCTCTTCGCACAGTATTATTTCATTTTTTTTTATGTACTTGTGTATCCGCTTGTGTGTGGATGTGCCACAGTGTCCCATCCAGGGTCATTGTAGCTGTGTAGGTCTTTATTCAGACAAATGAAAGTCTCATGTTAACTGTCGAGTGGCACGTTAACGTTAAGCTCGGGCACTTTTCAGCACAATTCATGACAAACTGAAAGCGAAAGCAGAGCGACACTCCAACCTCTGCAGCCTCATAATGAAACCAAGTTTTGTCATTTTTAGGGGAGCTTATCACATACAATATATACAGTGTTATGTTAACAGCCAGGACAAAGGCATGGCCCCAAAATGACTGGAAGCAACAATCTGTTGCTATACAAAATGTCAAGGACGTTTAGTATGAAGCAAAAGAAGAACAGCATTAGCTTCCCATCCCCATGTCAACAACATAGATCCTAAAAACAAAACAAAACCTGGCATCACTGAAGCATCACCATGCCATTTAGATAATTCTGGAGTCCTAACTGCATAAACAAGTTAATAACTGATTAGTTAGATTAGTATGATTATTACAATTTTACACAGATAAGCTTGTCAAATTAATAAATAAATATTGTCTTGGCCATTTAAAATGTTGGCCTGTGTAGATTCTGTACATGGAATCAGGCAGTATAGATACAAAAATAAACCCTGAGTAGATTTACTTTTATAGTGAAGATAATCAGCTGTGCACTGGAGTCTCCTGACCCAGACTGCAGGGTTGAATGTTGGCTAAGCCGAACAGATCTCTGCACTGCAGAGGGTCTTTTTCAAAAAGATGAGAGACTTAATCACGTTTTCTGCTTTAGCAATCACAAGTTCTGCTTATTAGCTTAAGCCGCTCAGATGATCTGGAGGAGAAAAAAAAGGACGCATGGGGAAAAAAAAGACATTACAGTGTGTGAATAAACTCTGTCTTTGTGATTCCAATGAATGCCACACACTCACACACACAAGAGTGTAACATTTACTCTACTATGACTCGTCTGCCATGCCCTGCAGCTTTTAGCTGCTGTTGCTTCGTGTTGTATAGTGTTTTTTGTAGTTTAAATGATAAGAGTAGCAGGCAAACAACCAAAAGGTCATCATAATCGTAGCTATTTTGTGCTTGAGGTTAAAAAAGGTCTGCTCCTCTATAGCAGTGTTTTTTTCATTTGTTGCCTAAAATGTTAACTTTTGGTGGCACATTTCCTCAGGTGTATCAACATTAGAGTATCTTCAAGGTGGTTGAAAGTCTGTCTGTATGGAAAGGTCATATCTACTCAACTCATCAACATAAATGATACAAACTAATAGAACTGAGGCTAAAGCTTTATATGTGGGGCAGAATTAATTGTGTTCAACGACAATCCCTGTGTGGAGCTTACCATAGCAGGATTCTTGGACGATAAAAGAGGTTACAAATGCCTTTTTTCCTAATTTATTGACAAGTCACTTTCTTATTATGAGAGCATAATTACAAATATAACTTCCTGTTGAGTTGGATAACTATAATGATTTCACATGTAACAAGTTTGGCTGAAGTTACTTGAGTGTAAACTTCCTCAAAGTTGTCACAACGGCTCACAACGGCTGACCCGACTCCACACAGAATTTTCACTAGAGGGCTGGCAAGAAAAAGTCTGGGTGAAATTTTCGCTGTTCACATGCAGCTCACATTGAACTTTTCACTATCTGACATAAGCTCTGAGTACCATGTAGGATGAAATACAATACATTTACAGCCCACTACTCATATTTCCCAATCATCACCGACCACTAGGCCAACAGCGGCAAGAAAATTTCAGTGATTCTTTGAGTAATAAGAAGTTTATCACTGCAAGAACTTCAGATTAATGCATTTGCTGAAGTTTAAGAACAAATGCCCTTTTTTAGTACAGTTATCTCCAAAGTGTGAGATGCAAAATGATTTGTATGATCATCAACAAAAGACTGAATGCACGTGTAATTTGTCAGTGAGGAGCAAAGTAACTTAAATGGTAAATTCTGATATATTTGCCAACAAACAGCTTTATTATTCAATGTGGGGAGGATATTCAGCTTTTTCCTTTTCTGAGCAGCTTATCGTTGCATTTTTTGCCTTCGTTTTATACGTTTTCTAATTTGAGATCTCATTCTTGAATTAATTCATCACGACAATGT